GATGACAGAGAAGGATATAGTTCTAGTTCGGTTCTAGTTCAGTTCTAGTTCGGTTCTAGTTCAGTTCTAGTTCAGTTCTAGTTCAGTTAGTCAGTTCTAGTTCAGTTCTAGTTCAGTTCTAGTTCAGTTCTAGTTCAGTTCTAGTTCAGTTCTAGTTCAGTTCTAGTTCAGTTCTAGTTCAGTTCTAGTTCAGTTCTAATTCAGTTCTAGTTCAGTTCTAGTTCAGTTCCAGTTCAGTTCTAGTTCTAGTTCAGTTCTAGTTCAGTTCTAGTTCAGTTCTAGTTCAGTTCTAGTTCAGTTCTAGTTCAGTTCTAGTTCAGTTCTAGTTCAGTTCTAGTTCAGTTCTATTCAGTTCTAGTTCAGTTCTAGTTCAGTTCTAGTTCAGTTCTAGTTCAGTTCTAGTTCAGTTCTAGTTCAGTTCTAGTTCAGTTCTAGTTCAGTTCTAGTTCAGTTCTAGTTCAAGTTCTAGTTCAGTTCTAGTTCAGTTCTAGTTCAGTTCTAGTTCAGTTCTAGTTCAGTTCTAGTTCAGTTCTAGTTCAGTTCTAGTTCAGTTCTAGTTCAGTTCTAGTTCAGTTCTAGTTCAGTTCTAGTTCAGTTCTAGTTCAGTTCTAGTTCAGTTCTAGTTCAGTTTCTAGTTCAGTTCTAGTTCAGTTCTAGTTCGTTCTAGTTCAAGTTCTAGTTCAGTTCTAGTTCAGTTTCTAGTTCAGTCTAGTTCAGTTCTAGTCCTAGTTCAGTTCTAGTTCAGTTCTAGTTCAGTTCTAGTTCAGTTTTTCTAGTTCAGTTTCTAGTTCAGTTCTAGTTCTAGTTCAGTTCTAGTTCAGTTCTAGTTCAGTTCTAGTTCAGTTCTAGTTCAGTTCTAGTTCAGTTCTAGTTCAGTTCTAGTTCAGTTCTAGTTCAGTTCTAGTTCAGTTCTAGTTCAGTTCTAGTTCAGTTCTAGTTCAGTTCTAGTTCAGTTCTAGTTCAGTTCTAGTTCAGTTCTAGTTCAGTTCTAGTTCAGTTCTAGTTCAGTTCTAGTTCAGTTCTAGTTCAGTTCTAGTTCAGTTCTAGTTCAGTTCTAGTTCAGTTCTAGTTCAGTTCTAGTTCAGTTCTAGTTCAGTTCTAGTTCAGTTCTAGTTCAGTTCTAGTTCAGTTCTAGTTCAGTTCTAGTTCAGTTCTAGTTCAGTTCTAGTTCAGTTCTAGTTCAGTTCTAGTTCAGTTCTAGTTCAGTTCTAGTTCAGTTCTAGTTCAGTTCTAGTTCAGTTCTAGTTCAGTTCTAGTTCAGTTCTAGTTCAGTTCTAGTTCAGTTCTAGTTCAGTTCTAGTTCAGTTCTAGTTCAGTTCTAGTTCAGTTCTAGTTCAGTTCTAGTTCTAGTTCAGTTCTAGTTCAGTTCTAGTTCAGTTCTAGTTCAGTTCTAGTTCAGTTCTAGTTCAGTTCTAGTTCAGTTCTAGTTCAGTTCTAGTTCAGTTCAGTTCTAGTTCAGTTCTAGTTCAGTTCTAGTTCAGTTCTAGTTCAGTTCTAGTTCAGTTCTAGTTCAGTTCTAGTTTAGTTCTAGTTCAGTTCTAGTTTAGTTCTAGTTCAGTTCTAGTTCAGTTATGGTTCAGTTCTAGTTCAGTTCTAGTTCAGTTCTAGTTCAGTTCTAGTTCAGTTCTAGTTTCAGTTCTAGTTCAGTTCTAGTTCAGTTCTAGTTCAGTTCTAGTTCAGTTCTAGTTCAGTTCTAGTTCAGTTCTAGTTCAGTTCTAGTTCAGTTCTAGTTCAGTTCTAGTTCAGTTCTAGTTCAGTTCTAGTTCAGTTTCTAGTTCAGTTCTAGTTCAGTTCTAGTTCAGTTCTAGTTCAGTTCTAGTTCAGTTCTAGTTCAGTTCTAGTTCAGTTTCTAGTTCAGTTCTAGTTCAGTTCTAGTTCAGTTCTAGTTCAGTTCTAGTTCAGTTCTAGTTCAGTTCTAGTTCAGTTCTAGTTCAGTTCTAGTTCAGTTCTAGTTCAGTTCTAGTCAGTCTAGTTCAGTTCTAGTTCAGTTCTAGTTCAGTTCTAGTTCAGTTCTAGTTCAGTTCTAGTTCAGTCCTAGATCAGATCTAGTTCATTTCCAAATCAGTATAATCTGGCTGTAGTCTACTAGTCACGTCTATAGTCTAGACCTAAATATAGAATAGCCTAAAGACTAGACTATAGTACAGATTATATACTATAATACAGATTATAAATTATTCAATGTTGGACTACACTATAATCCACATCTTATATTTTATTAAAAACTTTAAATCTTAAACTTATTCCATTTCCCTGAAAACATTCAATCGAAAAGCTTACGAAAGCACACAGTAAACCACAGATCCATATTAGAAATGCATATTCATAATATTTAATAGTTAAAGATTTTTTCCCTTCATCGTTTAGAAATATTTTCAAATTACCACTCAAAACCCCATGCCAGTTGGTATCCCTCAAATGTTTCTTTAAAATGCCATTCTCTTGTATATAATATAAATAGCGATTAAATTGATCGATTACCGGCGATCGATGGGGCAATGTTATACAATAATGTTTATATTTTAAAACCTGAACTAGTTTTTTAGCTTTAGGTTTTTGCATAAATCTCTGCTGAAATAGATAAAAATCAATTAAATCTTCTTGGCCTGTGTACATATACGACATGTCGAGAGATTGACGTTTATGCCTGAAATCGGTATTATTGCCAGTGAATACACGCTGTTTTAAGAATTTTGGTACATCCAACTGCTCGAGTAAATCTTTTTCGGCTGTATGTTGATAAATTAATAAATTGGTGTATCTGATATCCTCCAGTTGCTGTAATTCGGGTTCAAAAACTTTAGAGGTAATCATACTGGAAAGGTTGCTGTTATAAAAGTTGGTGAGAAATAGGCCCGTAAAGAGAAATAGTAGTGCCAAAAAGAAATTGCGAATTGAACGGTCGGACTTTAAAGCTACCGACAGAAAGAGAATTATTTTAATGGTTTCCAGAAAAGCTGTTGAAACATGAGGTTCCTTAAGCAGTATTATATTCAATAAAATCATTAGTAACAGGAACAAGAACAGACACAGTGCTATAGCAAACCATAAGTTCGTATTAAAAGGTTTGAATAGATATAATTTGGGGGAAATTTCTTGAGCTGTAGGCACCACTAATAAAATCTTGGTTACAATCAAAACTCTACTAGAAGCAAAATCAAAATTTACAGGCACATCTGCTGGTATAAAACTGAATTCGATTGTCTGCAGAAATTTTTTAATATTTGCGAAAGTAACATTGGCGTTCCATATGTCATAAAATTGAAGTTTGATACTTGCATTATGTTGTTTAAGAAATATTTCGATCCATTTATAAAAATAACCCACACGCATTAATTGTCCCTGAGTATTGTTGTAGCTAAAGCAGACGGGCGGAAGTTGTATAAAGGGAACAATCATTTCATAACCATAAAAATTATCCAAATGAGTTTTATCCTGGAATTTGGAAATGTTGTTTAGTTGCACTACTTTAATCTCCGGATAAGGGTGGTAGGTATATATTTTATTATCACACCATAATAAAACCGATATAAAACCATACATCCAGCATTTTTGAAATATGTGATAAAAATTGCGTTCGGCACCATAATAAACCAATAAAATATCCTTAAAGTGTTTAGTCCACACTATCTGATCCAGCGCCTTTAAAGTATTATTCATATTCTCCTCAGTTAACCAGGCCACTGTTAAACACTGGTCCCCAAAATTGTTATATAAAGCGGTAACATTATACAGCCGATCAGTAAGAATGATTTTGGGTATATCTTCGGTTTGAGAAGCTTTTAAAAATTGTTGATAGTTTTTTGTATTATTTATTTTTCTATCATAGTTTATTAATAGGTTTAAATTTAAACTACCCTCACGATTGATTTGTTTAATAATGTCTGCAACATCGTTATATTTATCGTCTCTAGCCATACTAAATGACAATATTAAGTTCCAAATGATTGTTAATTTTTTTAAACTTTTCAACTGCATTGTTCTTTTTCAACTAACTATAGAAGGGATTTCAACTAAATGTCGTGAATGAACTTAAGTTAAATACATACAAAACTAATGTTTCGTTTAAATATTTATGATACATATGTTTTTAAATATTAAATGCATGTAAACGAAAAACATTGTTATATAATCTGCTACTAAACAAGACATTTAGATACAATTTATATCTCAAATTGTAGTTTAAAACAAAAAAAAAAAAAAAATAAATTTAAATAATTTTTATAAAGCTAATTTTAAAGCAATAATTTAATATAAAAGCTTTTTATTGTTCCATTGTACCACCAATGATGTGAACTGTAATTAAAAGATCCAGTTTTTATATCAAATTTAAAATAAATTCTTAAAAATTAACAAAAATGTAGAACTAGAAATGAAGTCGAAGTTGAGCTGAACTAGAACTGAACTAGAACTGAACTAGAAATGAACTAGAACTGAAATAGAACTGAAATAGAACTGAAATAGAACTGAACTATAACTGAACTATAACTGAAATAGAACTGAACTAGAACTGAACTGAACTAGAACTGAACTGAACTAGAACTGAACTAGAACTGAACTAGAACTGAACTAGAACTGAACTAGAACTGAACTAGAACTGAACTAGAACTGAGCTAGAACTGAACTAGAACTGAACTAGAACTGAACTAGAACTGAACTAGAACTGAACTAGAACTGAACTAGAACTGAACTAGAACTGAACTAGAACTGAACTAGAACTGAACTAGAACTGAACTTACACTACTCAATTTTTTTTCGATTTATTGTAAATAACCACTTTTGTTAGAGCATTTATTAAAAATTTTCCAAATTATAACATGTTCAAGCTTCCTAAGGAACTAGTCAGGACATTAGTTAAAAGTAACTACTCTGTTGAATAACGAATGTATATATTTGTATATTTCCATATTTATAATATTCTCCTAGAAATGGTGTAGCGTTCATTAAGTAAGTAATAACATAAGAGTTTCGTAAACAGTCCCACTAGTCTATCATTAACAATGCAACTAACAACATTAATAACTTTATTAATCATTGCGATTATTTTAACAACCAACATTGCAAGTAATGTTCCAGATATAATCCAGCAAATCAATCGTAAAAGTCAATTAAATTTAAATATATTAATAAACTTTGAAAGAACCACTAATAATACGGAAAAATATGAACAATTTGTGAAGACCTCTCAATTAGACGAAATACCCAAGATCATTATTACGGAGAAAAATTACAAAGTAACAGCTTTAAATAAAAATTTTGGGGACCAAATGTTAACAGTGGCTTGGATAACTGACAAAAATTGGTCTAACACCCTAAAGACTGTGGATCAATTGTTGTGGCAGCTGCATTATAAAGATATCTTCTTGATATATCAAGGACTATTATCTACATTCTATAATATATTCCAAAACTGCTGGAACTATGGTTTTATTTCGGTGTTATTGTATCACAATAATCAGCTATATAGCTATCATCCTTATCCGCGCATCAAGGTAGTAACACTAAACGATGTTCAACAATTTTATGATAAAACTCATTTGCAAAATTTCTTCGGTTATGAAATGGTGGTACCGGTAGTAGAATTTCCCCCCGTCTGCTTCAGTTATACCAATACTAAGGGAGAGTTAAAGCGTGTGGGCTATCTTTACAACTGGATAGAAATATTTCTCAGACATCATAATGCCTCCATTAAACATTATTCATTGAACATATGGCAGCCTAATATCAGTTTTGCTTATGCTCAGAAAATTCTATATGAAATTAATTTCAGTTTTGTGCCAATGGTGGTGCATAGAACTAAAAATTATTCCTCAAGTGTTGTTTTGACGGTAACCAAGACTGCATTGATAGTGCCCAGTAATGTGGAAATTTCTAGCAATTTGTATATCTTCAAAACGTTTAGTAAACTTTTATGGCTGATTATTCTCATATGTGTAGCTCTATTTCTAACTCTAATGATTTCAGTGAATATCATTTTCCACCAAAAACTTAATTTTTGCGAGGCTTTTTTGAATACCATCAGTATAATACTCTTTCTCTCGATAACTTTAAGGCGAGGCCATAACCTATTTAACTTCTATTTATATTTGATATTTCTTGTCTACGGTTTGTTCTTTAGTAATCTCTTTGACAGCAGTCTCTTCAGCTTAATTACCTCTAAAGTTTATGAACCGGAATTACACCAACTAGAGGATCTCAACCGCAATAAATTGCTGATTTGGAAACATTCAGCCGATACTGAAGATTTCCTAAATATGAGAATACCCGAATTCGTAAAGCAGCGTTTACACACTGGCAATAACACCGTGCTAAGGATTAAACGTGAAGAACTTGATCCCTCCTATATTTATACAGGCCAAGAGTATTTAGTCGATTATATCTTATCGCAACAGCGTTTTATGAAGCGACCTAAAATGAAAAGACTAGATCAGCCCATATCATATAAACCACTCTTCGTCACTGTCAGCCACCGTTCGCCGGTAATCGATCAATTTAATCGTTATTTATTTTATATAAGAGAGAATGGCATTATGTTGAAAATTTTTCGTGATACAGAGTGGCATGGCATTTATAGTGGCAGTTTGAGAATACGTTTCGATGATGAAGTTTTGCGGGCTATGACAATTGAATATTTTGAATACGCATTTCTAATATGGATTTGTGGTTTGTTGTGTGCTTTTATGTGGTTTTTAATTGAGTATTTTCATCGCAATATTTTGAACTTAATGTTAAATATTGTTAATAAAATTGTAAAGTGATTCAAATGGATGGGTGTCTGAACTTTTTTTTTCGGGGGAAAAGGGGAATTCTGTTCTGGTGCAGTTCTAGTTCAGTTCTAGATCAGTTCTAGTTCAGTTCTAGTTCAGTTCTAGTTCAGTTCTAGTTCAGTTCTAGTTCAGTTCTAGTTCAGTTCTAGTTCAGTTCTTGTTCAGTTCTAGTTCAGTTCTAGTTCAGTTCTAGTTCAGTTCTAGTTCAGTTCTAGTTCAGTTCTAGTTCAGTTCTAGTTCAGTTCTAGTTCAGTTCTAGTTTCAGTTCTAGTTCAGTTCTAGTTCAGTTCTAGTTCAGTTCTAGTTCAGTTTCTAGTTCAGTTCTAGTTCAGTTCTAGTTCAGTTCTAGTTCAGTTCTAGTTCAGTTCTAGTTCAGTTCTAGTTCAGTTCTAGTTCAGTTCTAGTTCAGTTCTAGTTCAGTTTCTAGTTCAGTTCTAGTTCAGTTCTAGTTCAGTTCTAGTTCAGTTCTAGTTCAGTTCTAGTTCAGTTCTAGTTCAGTTCTAGTTCAGTTCTAGTTCAGTTCTAGTTCAGTTCTAGTTCAGTTCTAGTTCAGTTCTAGTTCAGTTCTAGTTCAGTTCTAGTTCAGTTCTAGTTCAGTTCTAGTTCAGTTCTAGTTCAGTTCTAGTTCAGTTCTAGTTCAGTTCTAGTTCAGTTCTAGTTCCGTTTCTAGTTCAGTTCATAGTTAGTTCTAGTTCAGTTCTAGTTCAGTTCTAGTTCAGTTCTAGTTCAGTTCTAGTTCAGTTCTAGTTAGTTCTAGTCAGTTCTAGTTCAGTTCTAGTTCAGTTCTAGTTCAGTTCTAGTTCAGTTCTAGTTCAGTTCTAGTTCAGTTCTAGTTCAGTTCTAGTTCAGTTTCTAGTTCAGTTCTAGTTCAGTTTCTAGTTCAGTTCTAGTTCAGTTCTAGTTCAGTTCTAGTTCAGTTCTAGTTCAGTTCTAGTTTCAGTTTCTAGTCAGTTCTAAGTTCAGTTTCTAGTTCAGGTCTAGTTCAGTTTAGTTCAGTTCTAGTTCAGTTCTAGTTCAGTTCTAGTTCAGTTCTAGTTCAGTTCTAGTTCAGTTCTAGTTCATGTGCTAGTTCAGGTCTAAGTTCAGTTCGTAGTTCAGTTCTAGTTCAGTTCTAGTTCAGTTCTAGTTCAGTTCTAGTTCAGTTCTAGTTCAGTCTAGTTCCGTTCTAGTTCAGTTCTAGTTCAGTTCTAGTTCAGTTCTAGTTCAGTTCTAGTTCAGTTCTAGTTCAGTTCTAGTTCAGTTCTAGTTCAGTTCTAGTTCAGTTCTAGTTCAGTTCTAGTTCAGTTCTAGTTCAGTTTCTAGTTCAGTTCTAGTTCAGTTCTAGTTCAGTTCTAGTTCAGTTCTAGTTCAGTTCTAGTTCAGTTCTAGTTCAGTTCTAGTTCAGTTCTAGTTCAGTTCTAGTTCAGTTCTAGTTCAGTTCTAGTTCAGTTCTAGTTCAGTTCTAGTTCAGTTCTAGTTCAGTTCTAGTTCAGTTCTAGTTCAGTTCTAGTTCAGTTCTAGTTCAGTTCTAGTTCAGTTCTAGTTCAGTTCTAGTTCAGTTTCTAGTTCTAGTTCTAGTTCAGTTCTAGTTCAGTTCTAGTTCAGTTCTAGTTCAGTTCTAGTTCAGTTCTAGTTCAGTTCTAGTTCAGTTCTGGTTCAGTTCTAGTTCAGTTCTTAGTTCAGTTCTAGTTCAGTTCTAGTTCAGTTCTAGTTCAGTTCTAGTTCAGTTCTAGTTCAGTTCTAGGTTCTAAGTTCTAGTTCAGTTCTGGTTCAGTATCACAGCAATATTTGATCTTCGTTGAACTAGAGCTATGTGCGAATATTTTAGGTAAACTTTCTATATTTAAATTCCTGGTAAATCATGTGCCAAAAAGTTGGTAATTTTTGTAGAGATCACACTAAACTGTAACAAGTTTTAAAAAACATAAATATTTATTTTCTTATAATGGCGCCAGTGTAAAATTAATTTTTACAAGCAAATATAATGTGTAGTTTGTTTTAAAAATTTGCAACATCAACAAATATCGTGATAAATTTTTAATATTTAATAAAGTAAACTGTTGTTTTATTAAATAATTTATAAGTAAATGAAATGTTTTTTAAATGTTTAAAACAAAATTAAAAGTTTTACTATTTCGAATACAATTAAAATAATAACAAATTTTGTTTAAAAACAATTAAAAATTGGTCTTTCGAATATTGAACATTTGATAAAACTGTAATATTCTTCTTTATTCTGATTCAATAAAAATCATAAAATTATAATTTTCTTTATAAAATTATAAATCTTATAAAAGTTAATTTAGAAATTTTGTTTATAAAGTTTTGTCATCAAAATCATTTATTACTGTTTTAAAATTTTATAAACACCTCCTGTTTAAAAATAGTACTTTTTATTAACATTTTATAAAACAATAAAAATATGTTTATTATTATTTAAAAACGCAATAAAATGTAATGTGACATACATATGACTTGTTAATATAAGAAGTTAAGATTTTATAGATTATTTTGAGAAATTTATCTTATAACAAGACAATAAACGAAAATTTATAAAAAATTTTTTATGACTAAAGGTCATTCGCCCTCAAATAGGCGCCAATACCTGTCATTTTGTTGACATTAAATAATCGCCTTATAAAATTTAAAAATTTTAAATGTTTTTGTTTTAGAATTAAAAGAATATTAAATATTAGAATTATTTTAAAAACTTAAAATTTTTTGTAGCAATTTTTATTAAATATTTAACATAAACTGCTGGTAAAAGTAATGACAGTGCTGTAGTATTTTTAGCCGTTTAATTAAATACATTATTTAATACTTAAATAGAAAATAAACTTTGAATTGTAGATAAGAATATTGTCTTAGAAAGAAACTCGCACAATTATATCTAAAGGTAAAATAGATTAAACACATTTTTAACATTAACGTGACCAGATGCTCAAAACATACTCTACATAAAATAGACATGTTTGAAAATTTTCAATAAAAAGGGAAAATTGTCTTTATATTTAAAATGTTCTATAACATTTTATTTTATTTATTTATTTTTTTTTGATTTTCTATAAAAATTAGTATATTATATATATATATATATATATATATATATATATATATATATATATATATATATATATATATATCTATATATATATATATATATATATATCTATATATATATATATATATATATATATATATCTATATATATTCTCCAAAAATTTTTAATTAAAAAAAAAAAAATTTTCGAAAATTTTCTTAAAAAGAACTGAACATTTTTTTCTAAAAGAAAATTTTTATTAAGGTAGAAATTGTTTATTTAAAATAATTTTTTTAAATTCTTTGTTAAAAAGAAATGTTCGAACATTTTCTATAAAAGGATTTTTTTCTAAAATCTCCCACAAAAAAAAAAAAAAAAAAACATATGTCTAGAGCAGGACTAAAACTGAACCAGAATAGAAACTGAACTAGAACTGAACCAGATAGAACTAGAACTGAACTAGAACTGAACTAGAACTGAACTAGAACTGAACTAGAACTGAACTAGAACTGAACTAGAACTGAACTAGAACTGAACTAGAACTGAACTAGAACTGAACTAGAACTGAACTAGAACTGAACTAGAACTGAACTAGAACTGAACTAGAACTGAACTAGAATGAACTAGAACTGAACTAGAACTGAACTAGAACTGAACTAGAACTGAACTAGAACTGAACTAGAACTGAACTAGAACTGAACTAGAACTGAACTAGAACTGAACTAGAACTAGAACTAGAACTGACTAGAACTGAACTAGAACTGAACTAGAACTGAACTAGAACTGAACTAGAACTGAACTAGACTTAACTATTGAACTAGAACTGAACTAGAACTGAACTAGAACTGAACTAGAACTGAACTAGAACTGAACTAGAACTGAACTAGAACTGAACTAGAACTGAACTAGAACTGAACTAGAACTGAACTAGAACTGAACTAGAACTGAACTAGAACTGAACTAGAACTGAACTAGAACTGAACTAGAACTGAACTAGAACTGAACTACTAAACTGAACTAGAACTGAACTAGAACTGAACTAGAAACTGAACTAGAACTGAACTAGAACTGAACTAGAACTGAACTAGAACTGAACTAGAACTGAACTAGAACTGAACTAGAACTGAACTAGAACTGAACTAGAACTGAACTAGAACTGAACTAGAACTGAACTAGAACTGAACTAGAACTGAACTAGAACTGAACTAGAACTGAACTAGAACTGAAATAGAACTGAACTAGAACTGAACTAGAACTGAACTAGAACTGAACTAGAACTGAACTAGAACTGAACTAGAACTGAACTAGAACTGAACTAGAACTGAACTAGAACTGAACTAGAACTGAACTAGAACTGAACTAAACTGAACTAGAACTGAACTAGAACTGAACTAGAACTGAACTAGAACGAACTAGAACTGAACTAGAACTGAACTAGAACTGAACTAGAACTGAACTAGAAACTGAACTAGAACTGAACTAGAACTGAACTAGAACTGAACTAGAACTGAACTAGAACTGAACTAGAACTGAACTAGAACTGAACTAGAACTGAACTAGAACTGAACTAGAACTGAACTAGAACTGAACTAGAACTGAACTAGAACTGAACTAGAACTGAACTAGAACTGAACTAGAACTGAACTAGAACTGAACTAGAACTGAACTAGAACTGAACTAGAACTGAACTAGAACTGAACTAGAACTGAACTAGAACTGAACTAGAACTGAACTAGAACTGAACTAGAACTGAACTAGAAACTGAACTAGAACTGAACTAGAACTGAACTAGAACTGAACTAGAACTGAACTAGAACTGAACTAGAACTGAACTAGAACTGAACTAGAACTGAACTAGAACTGAACTAGAACTGAACTAGAACTAGAACTGAACTAGAACTGAACTAGAACTGAACTAGAACTGAACTAGAACTGAACTAGAACTGAACTAGAACTGAACTAGAACTGAACTAGAACTGAACTAGAACTGAACTAGAACTGAACTAGAACAGAACTAGAACAAGAACTAGAACTGAATTAGAACTGAAATTTATTTTAAGTCGATAACTTTTCAAAATTTAAATTTTGTAAAATGTGTGTTTAACATACAAAACTTTTGAAAATATTCGAAAAGCAAAGAATTTTTGGAGAATAATAAAATTTATATTTTTCCCAAAATTGAAACGAAAATTTTCGAAAAATTACAAATTTATCAAACAATTTCCATAAATCGAAAATTTATAAAAATTTTGTTATAAAATTTCTTTTCAAAACATTCCAACCAACATTTTTCTTTGAGTATATTGAGTTTGTCTGCCATGCCATGCAGCATGTAGCAAAAACAAAAATTGAAAACTAAAAATCAAGGCGTTTGTAAACTTACCACGTTATTTGCGTGCGTTGTTGTTGCTCATGCGATCATTTGAAAAGTTGCCAAAATAAAGCGCATTAGAACAGGTGGTGGGCTTGTTGATTGTATTTTACTACTTTGTGACAAAACAGCAAAAAGACGCCAGTCAAACTTCTTAAGAAATTAGAGAAAACCAGAATTTAAGTTTTTTTTTTTCTGAAATTTGTTTTGGTTTCTTAAGAAAATTGTAACAAAATTTGCATTAAACTTTTTTTTTGCATAAACTGAAGGCTAAAACACAAGCCAATAACTTTATAAACAAATTTGTTCGATTTTTAGAAATTTTCACAATTAAAAAGAATTAGTTTGCAATTAATTACACAACACACTTTTTTATTTAAAATCTAGTGATTTTTTTTTAAATTTCTTGCACATTTATCAACACATTTATTTCAATAATTTATAACATCAATCAATTGCAAAAATTATTTCTTAATATTTTCAAATATTTTTTTTTATTAATTTTTAAACTTCGCTTTAGTTTTTATTTAATTTTTACTTAAAATTATTTTTTTTCTATTTTTCAAATAATTCGTTGTTGTTTTAATTTTTATTAGTTTATTCGTTTAAGTTTTAGAAGTTTTAATAGTTTTATATATTTTTTCTAATTAATATTTTAATTTATTTTTAAATTATAACCGCCAAACGCGCTTGCGCACTTTTCGTTTTACCCGCTACATGAAACAAAACGTTTTAAACCAAAAGACCGCTCGTGAGTAACTGATTCCGAAAAAAGTGTAATATTATGCTGTTTGTTTAGTTAGTACTGCGCTGCTTATTTGTATCTGTTAGATAGAAGACGTCGACGCAGTCGCTGCCATTGTAAACTGAAAAGTATCCAATAAATACTATATTCTTCGTTAAACTTAAAAATTCTTCTCGCGTTTAAAAGTTCTCTGTTAGTTTGTTTTGTTTGTGTTTTCTTTTGTTCCGGCATAGAGAGAGTGCTGAATCTCTGTGTTCATCAGTGTTTCAATTTCAATTGATTTCATTTGTGTTCTGTGCGTTCATGTGTGGGGAGCTCAGCTTAACTTTATCTAAGATTTTTTAGTTTTACCACTGTCAGTCAAGATTTTCATGAAATATTTAACTGCAGAATGTGTGTGTGTTTTGTCTGATTGTTGCTGCTCATTTTGTTCTTTGTATATAATAATACAACCTGCATTAGTTTTACTATTTTTTCCCTAGAGTTGTTTCATGTCGGGTGTTTTTTTAATTCCACAATTGAGTGTTAAATATCTTCATTACCCAGAAAATAGACACTCAATATTCAAGACTGATTCGGATTATACATACTCCAAACTATAGTCCAGTCAATAGCTAAACTACATAAGTCCAGTTCGGAAAGTTGAACTATAGTGCTAAATCCAGACTATAGTCCAACTATAGTCCAGATTTAAATAAAATTATATTGTAGGCTACAGTCCAAAAATTTTTAAGACTCAAAATATAGTCCAGACTATAGTCCAAAGTATAGTTCAGACTATAGTCGTACTGTATTCCAGTGTATTGTCCAACTATAATCCAGACTATAGTCCAAGCCATTGTGAAGCTATAATTCAGACTATAGTTAAACTATAGTACAGATTATAGACGAAGTATAGTTTAGATTATAGTCTAAGTATAATCCAGACTATAATCCAATAATAGTCCTGCCTATAGCACAACATAAGTCCAGAAAATTTTATATATAAACTTCTTTATAAAAGAAGATTTTTTTCAAAAATTCTCTTTAAAAAAACATTTTTTCGAAAATTTTCTATAAAAGAAGAAAATTTTTGAAAATTTTCAATAAAAGAAGAAAATTTTCTATAAAAGAAGAAAATTTTTGAAAATTTTCTATAAAAAATAAAATTTTCTATAAAAAAAGAAAATTTTCTATAAAAGAAGAAATCTCTACAAGAGACATTTTTCGAAAATTTTCCAAAAATTCTCTATAAGAGAAAATTTTCAAAAATTCTCTATAAGAGAAAAGTTTCAAAAATTCTCTATAAGAGAAATTTTCCGAAAATTTTCTATAAGAGAAATTTTCCGAAAATTTTCTATAAGAGAAATTTTCTGAAAATTGTCTATACGAGAAAGTTTAAAAAATTCTTTATAAGAGAAATTTTCCAAAAATTATTTATAAGAGAAATTTTCCAAAAATCTTCTATAAGAGAATTTTTCTGAAAATTCGAGAAAGTTTAAGGAAATTCTCTATAAGAGAAATTTTCTGAAAACATTCTATAAGAGAAATTTTCTGAAAATATTCTATAAGAGAAATTTTCTAAAAATATTTTATAAGAGAAATTTTCTCAAATATTCTATAAGAGAAATTTTCTGAAAATATTCTATAAGAGAAATTTTCTGAAAATATTCTATAAGAGAAATTTTCTGATAATATTCTATAAGAGAAATTTTCTGAAAATATTCTATAAGAGAAATTTTCTGAAAATATTCTATAAGAGAAATTTTCTGAAAATATTCTATAAGAGAAATTTTCTGAAAATATTCTATAAGAGAAATTTTCCGAAAATTTTATGTAAGAGAAATTTTCCAAAAATTTTCTATAAGAGAAATTTTCTAAAAATTTTCTATAAGAGAAATTCTCTGAAAATTTTCTATGAGAGAAATTCTCTGAAAATTTTCTATGAGAGAAATTCTCTTTTCGAAAATTTTCTATAAGAGAAACTTTTCTATAGTAAGAGAAAATTTCCGAAAAATTTCTATAGAAAAAAGAAAATTTCTGAAAATTTTCTATAGAAATTTTCTATAAGAGAAATTTTCCGAACATTTTCTATAAGAGAAATTTTCTGAAAATTTTCTATAAGAGAAATTTTCCGAAAATTTTCTAATAATAATAATAAATATAAAAATTCTCTATAAGAGAAATTTTCCGAAAATTTTCTGTAAGAGAAATTTTCTAAAAATTTTCTATAAGAGAAATTCTATGAAAATTTTCTTTAAGAGAAATTCTCTGAAAATTTTCTATAAGAGAAATTCTCTGAAAATTTTCTATAAAAGATATTCTCTGAAAATTTTCTATAAAAGAAACTTTCCGAAAATTTTCTATAAGAGAAATTTTCCAAAAATTTTCTATAAAAAAGAAAACATTTTTGGAAACTTTTCTATAGTAAGAGAAATTTTCCGAAAATTTTCTATAGAAAAAAGAAAATTTCTGAAAATTTTCTATAGAAAAAAGAAAATTTCTGAAATTTTTCTTTAAAAAAGATAAAATTTCGAAAAAAAAAAATTATAGAAAAGAGAAAATTTCCAAAAAATTTTCCGAAAATATTCTATAGAAAATATAAAATTTTCCGATAATAATCTTTTCTATTAAAAGAGAACTTTTCGAAATGGTTTCATAAGAGAAAATTTCCAAAATTTTTCTATAAGAGGAGAAATTCTTAGAAAATTTTCTATGGAAAAGAAAAATTTTCTATATAAAAAAGAAAATTTTGTATAGAAAAAATAAATTTTTCAAAAATTTTCTAATGAAAGAAAAAAATTTCCGAAAATTTTCTATAGAAAAGGTAACATTTCCGAAAATGTTCTACAGAAAACTGAGATTTTTTGCAAATTTTCTATTGAGAAGAGGGGTTTTTCGATAATTTTCTACAGAAAATATAAGTTTTCCGACAATTTTCCATAAAAAATATAAATTTTCCATAAATTTTCTATAGTAAAAAGAGAATTTTTAGAAAAATTACTAATTTTTCAAAAATTTTCTGTAAAAAGAGATTTTTCCAAAAAGGTTCTATTAGAAGAATTATTTTTAATAAGGTTTCTATAAGAAGGGAAAGTTCCAATATCTTTCTATAAGAAGAAATTTTCGAAAAATCTGGAAAGAATGTATTCTTTAAATGTAGTTCAGATATACATAGTTCCGAGCTATAGTAGACCATAACATAGGCAGTAGTCTAGACTACAGTCGAGATCCCAAACTATAAACCTGCTTAAATAGCTATCCGATTTTCCTTCCTATATCCCCGCTAAATGGCAACTCTGCTTTCTATCTAGTTAAAATATTAAAATTAAAATATCTTTAAAAGTTTAAATAAAAATCGTTAATAATATTAATGAAATGTATCTAAACTTAAACATTGTATAGAAAAACCACTAACGCCGAAACATGTTTGTCAAATCATGTGGGAGTATTTATTGATTTATCTTCAAATTGTTTCTTCGTTCATTGTTTGAAGTGTTTCGATTTCATTGTCGGACATGAGAGGTTTTACTGAGCATGAATGAATTGATCTTAAAGTAGAGTTTTATGAATGAAAAAAAATATTTCGTTTACTTCACGCTCAATAAATCGATCAATTGGAGCGAGTTTATGATTTTTTTTTTTAATTTGTTGACCTTGGTTGACTGTCAATTGAAAATATAATCTATTGTTGTTTGTATCGGAAATGAAGATTATCGATTGGATTTTTTTTGGAAAATAAAAGATTATGCATTATGTTTATTAGAAATTAATAATTTTTTGGGTTATTAGAATGAGGGGGTTTAATTTGGAATATGGGTTTATAAAATATTTTGTTGGTATTTTAACAATGAAAACTCTTTTTCACATTAAATAAATAATTACAGTTCTTATATTTTTAATTTCTAAAATAAGTCTTGGAAAAAAATTTAATAAAATTATTATTTTTTCTTTTCTTTGTAGGACTAATAAACTAAGGTAAGTGTTTTGAAAAGTTTTTTTATTTATAACTAAATATTAAATTCATCACTTTAAAATGATCCCTTCAATATTTTAAAGAATTTCACTCGATAATTAAAAAAATTATAATATTCTGACTAATTAATTAATTACTTATAAGTAAAAGTAACAGTAAAATTTTTAAATTTTTAATTGACCAAAAATAGGCATCATCTTTGGATTATAAATTCTAAAAAAATTTGAATAATTTTTTAATACAAATTTAATTTTTGTTTGTTTTGAAAACCCTTTGATTTCAATTTAAAAATGGAGATTTTTTAAGCTTAAAATTGAGGGAATATGAGTCAAAATTGGTCTGGCGACACTATACACAATAAATGTTGAATGTGGAACGCATTCCATGGACAATAGTAGTTTCTAACAGCATCGCACTTAGCTAATACACACACCCAAATTAATAGAATATTGACTAATAGATGGCGCCACTAAAATATAGAGTATAGACTACACTACATACCAGACTATAGACTAGCTTATAAACAAGATTATAAAATCGACTATAGACCAGACTATAGACTATAGTGTAGACTAGACTATAGACTATAGTGTAGACTAGACTATAGACTATAGTGTAGACTAGACTATAGACAAGACTATAGACAAGACTATAGACTAGACTATAGACTAGACTACAGACTACAGACTATAGACTAGACTAGACTATAGACTAGACTACAGACTACAGACTATAGACTAGACTAGACTATAGACTAGACTAGACTAGACTAGACTATAGACTAGACTAGACT